TTCCTTTTCTTTTTTGGCTTAAATTTGCTTTATTTTTTTTTATTAGCACATGTTTGCCTTACATAATGTTTACATTCCTTGTGTAGAGTTGTATGTATATAACACATCTTAATTGCCTTTTTCATTGCTATAGGGTATTCTACTATAGGAACACATTGCCAGTTCTCTGGATATTTGGTCCATCTTTTGGCCATTAAAGAAAACCCTAAAAGGACTAGATGGTATATGTCATTTAAATGAGGGTGACCTAAATCACTAAGATCTCCTTCCACTCAACTCTAATTTTCAATCATTTCTCTACCATATTTGGTAATTGGATCATCCTTCGCTTATTTTTCCCATGGTGGCCTGGAAAGTGAAATAGAATTTAAAAGTTTTAAAAATAAAGAGTTATAAATTGCAAAATCCATTACTAAAATGATAAAATATTAAATCATAAGCATAAAAGGAACAGAAAGAACACACATCTTTAAAGAAAGAAAAATTATATATATCAACAGTTTTCAAACTTGTTTGAGTAACCCCTAAAAGAATTTACATGCAAGGCAGGCAACAGAACCACTGAGCTAAATCCATGGCCCTCGAGTACATTTTTTAAAATTTTTATTTTATTGATACATTTTAGGTATACAATATAATGATATTCATCACTGGAAATTTACACCTTTACATAGTCTCTGTTGGTTCTTATTTTTCCCCCTTCCCCTGCCCTCCCTTCAACCCCTCCATCAAGTACATTTTTAATCATGATCTTGAAGCTACATATTTAATTCATTCACTTGGTGCAGAGTGACTGACAGATAATTTAAAGGACAATGCCAGTATTCAATGTCAACCTAATTTAAAAAAATAAAAACTTACTGTGAGAAAAAGTTGGACTTTGATTTTAAACAATGAGTGCTATTAGGTAAGCCTGTGACAATAATCTCACTTCTGAATTCCAGCTCTGAGAGACAGCAAAGGCACAAAGTGTCATGGTGATTCTCCCTCACACTTGTATAAAAAATGTAATGCCCTCATTAACATTTTCCACCAAGGCTATTTCTGCTTTTGTTCTTATGGATCCCTTCCTCAGGAACTACTCATTCTTGAATTAGTCCATTTCAGCCCATGTTTGCAGATATAGCATAGGTGCCTCCCATATATACTCAGCATGGAGACTCCTGGAATGTTCTACATATTATTTTAAAACTCAAATTTTAAAAAAGGTTTACCAGGATAAGTACGATGACTTCTATTTCTGCTTATATGGATGACTAGATGTCCAGAGAAAGTTTTCCAATATTGAATCTAAAAATTATAGTTAAATTTTTAAAAATATTTTAATCTAATTAAATGATCTCTTGGGAAAAGAAATGAGATTCATTCCCTGGATAAAATGAAAGTAAGAATCTTGAAAGTTAAACTTACCCTTTTTGTGTGTCAGGAAGAGGTAGAGAGGTATATTAGCTATCTTAGGTGCACATATGATGAGGAGAATAGAAAAGAAGTATAAAGTCTGTGTCTTTGTCTGTTTTCTACAGCTATAGCAGAATACCACAGACTAAATTATAAAGAAAACATTTATTTCTCATAGTTCTAGAGTCTAAAAGCCCAAGAATATGGCACTGGCACCTGATGAGACCCTTCCTACAGCCTCATACTATGGCAGCAGACATGACAGAGCCTGTGTGCTCATGTCTATTATTATTATTATTATTATTATTATTATTATGCTACTACTCCTATCACAGGGGCCCTAATCTCAAAACCTCATCTAATCATAATTCTCTCCCCAGAAGCCTACCTCCAAATAAATCATCAACATATGAATTTTGGGATTATGTTTCCAATACATGAATTTTAAGGGGACACATTAAAACCCTAATAGCCTATAAAAACCAAAAGAATGGCCTGGAGAACAACCATATCAAGTCAGACTCTGAATGGCCGAGAAATCAACCACTTCAAGCTGGACCCCAGCAAGGCTATCCTATCAGAGGACTGAATTGGGAAGTGGTGTTAGGGGTAGGGAAAGAGAATGGAGAAACATCAAATTGATTTAAGTGAAAAATAAAAATGAGAAAAGCAGTCCTTGTAGAATATCTAACCACAAGTTTATCACACAGGTTGGGGCCAGAATCTATACCATTTATGTTACCTCCACTTCCCAATAAACTTTAAGCTAAATGTTAGTTTTAAAATGGACCTAAGTGGGCCGGGGATTTAGCCCAGTGGTTTCGCCACCTGCTGCGCAAGCACAAGGACCTGAGTTCAATCCCCAGTACCAATAAATAAATAAATAAATAAATAAATAAAATAAAATGGACCTAAGAGAACTTACTGGTGTGATGGAAGTGTCACAACTGTATTGTGTTAATGTACAATTGCACAAGTGTATAAATTTACTAAAACTCAAACTGTGTATTTAAAATAAGTGATTTAGAGCCAGGTGTAGTGTCATACACCTTTAATCCCAGCACTCAGGAGGCTGAAGCAAGAGGATCGCCTGAGTTTGCCTGGAATACATACCAAGATCTTGTCTCAAAAAATAAAAAATAAAGCAATTTTATAGTATGTAAATTACACCTCAGTAAAATGAAGACAAAAGGAAAAGAGGACAAAGCTTATCTGGGCCATGAATCACTGGCTGTTTCTGACTCATCTTTTGCACAATTTGAGCAATCTTGGCACATCTAGGTCAAATCTACATAAATTCATTACCTTGCCATTCGCACTGCAATTACTCAGAAAAAAAAGTTTGTTAGCAATGATAATGTTGGGAAAGATAAAGTCTTATGGGTAGAATTAGGTCAAAGGATATACAATGGACCCTTGACTTATCACCTCAATTCGTTCCCAAGGGCTGCTTATAACCCAAGTCGGTCAACTGCCCTCAAAGTCTCTCTCCTGTATAACTTTAGGCCACACTTTCTTCCAGGCAGATCTCAGTGTTCTTAGAGAGACATTGGCCCAGGGTTTCTCCATTAACCCCACGCAGGAAAGGATGCTGTCATGTTCCTTCCAGAACTCTTTAAGGGTTAGATCTGCATCTGAGACCATGTGGAAGCACAAGTGGCCAGCATTTGGGTCCTAACTCAAGACTTTATTAGTTAAAGCTAAAATTCCAGTCATAAGCCAAGTTGTTCATATGTCAAGCCAGTCATAATCAGGGTCTACTGTATATCATTCTACCTCCTGATACATATAATTCTCCAGAATTATATAATGTCCACCACTTCCATATAAAGACATTCCCTTCTCAAAATGTTTGTCAACCTGAAAGTCAATAAACTTTTTATTATGCAGCTATTTGGCTCCAAGATCTAAGATGTAGATGTAGTTAAGACCATTTCTTCATATGTTTATTAGCTTATTAAACATCTTTGACATGAACAGTCCATTTCTCACTTTAAAAGTTCTTTCTTAGCTTTCAAGGTGATGGCCACTTCTCTGTGTCTCCCTCCCTCAAATGCAAGCCAGGTCTTCTGCACACAGCAAGGTCTCTGGCTCCTTTAAGTAGTGTACCCTCCACTGCCTACACCCATATTCAATATAGATGAGATTTCTGGTTTTCAAGTTTTCTTTCTTGAAGCCCACCTCCAACTTCTGACCAGAAAGAAGAGTGGCAGCTCAGAGAAGCCATGGAGATAATGGAAGGCTGGTGTTTTCCACTGTCTAATCATCTGAATTCTCACAGGCTACATGACCCGGAGCCCATCAGCCAACTTCTCTGTGGCTCCATCCACTCTCATTTCCAGTTGTTGCTCACCTCTGCACCTTGGCCCATTCTACCTCTGCAGTGTGGAAGGCCCCTACAGCCTAGCTTCCCCTCCAAGATTGGTTAAGGGTCCCTCTTTTATGGACCTCAGAGGCAACTGAGATGCCCATCTCTCACCCTCATGGTGCATACAGTCCATGAATATGTCTCCCAATCCTTCTTAGAAGCTCTGATGTTCCCCGGACCACTGCACAGCACTTGAATAATGCGCTTGGGAAATGAAAGCTGATCTGACACCAGTGCACACACATCTGCCACAAAGGACTTTCCCACAGGACAACTAGTTCAGTGCTCTCCATAGCTGGCCTAGGAACCTCCTAAGCACTGAAAGGCATTCAAGGCCTTCTCTGCTCCTATCTTTCCAGGATTAACAGCCCTATTTCTTCTTCACCAAATAAAGAACAAAAGTGCAGTTTCTCCTACCCCTAGACCTGTCCCTGGTTGGCTGAGCCTGCCCCACCTGGCCCTCAGGTGAATTCCAAAACCGATCCCACCCTCACTCCGTTTTCCCTTCAATACCCCATAATTTAATTTATTGTCATCTCTGCTCCTTGTGCCACCCACTAAACTCCACCCTCTATTATAAGCATTCCAGTGGTGACTTACATTCACTCTCTAATTTTATTAGTGGATATTTATCATTTTTTCTTGACAGATATATCATCGCTGTATCCTCTGAATCTTCACAACTAAGAGATCTTCAGTAAACCAGTCAGAGTGCAGTGTTGATTCTTGCTCCATTTTTAAATTTCACCTTCATAGAATAAAGGTCTCCCTGGCCCTCTGCCACCACAGTAACTGCTCCAGCCAGTCCCTACCCACTCAAGGGCGTCTCCTAAACTCATGCCCACAGGCCTTACTGACGAGCTGCTGACTTTGGATCCCAGCGGAGAATCAGACACTGCAGGTGAATTTCCCACCGGGGCTCTGCAAATACACCAGGGTCGCAGGAGGAGGTGGCGGTGGGCTTCCAATACAGAAATTCTGATTTAATAATCCAGGGTGCAGCCTGGGCACTGGAAATCTTAAACGTAAGAGAAATCTGAGTGTGCACACCCAGTAGCCAAGATCGAATTTTCACCTTCTCAAGCTCTCTGCCCGAGAAAAGACAAAAGGCCTGGGCGGGCCGGGTGCACCGGCAGCCCCACCCCAGACGCGGGCGGCGCCGAGATAAACGCCTGAACCTCTCGGGGTCCTAGGGGTAAACGAGCCCGGCTTCTCGGGGACTGCAAGCGTGAGTTACCAAGACCGGCCCTCTTTGGAGGCTGGCCCTAGGAGGAAGTGGCGCGACTCGGTTCAGTGCCTCCTCCAGGGTCTTGCGGAACGGACGCCGGGCGAGGGCCAGAGCGTGGCGGCCGGATGTGGGTAGGGGGCGAGGCCCGAGGCAGCAGTGGGCCAGTGGGGGCCCTTGGCGGAAGCATCCGCAGACCCCAGCTTCCGGGTGTGGACAATCCCCCGGTGTGCGCGCACACCCACACACCCACACACACCCACACACACACACACACACAGAGGCGAGCTGCCTTCCATTCTCCCTTCCTGGTGGCTCTTCTTCGACTTTTTTGCCCAGGTTCCTGTCTCTCTGCTGTTCAGTGCTTGCACCTCCTGCTCCTTACTGCTAACCTATTCGCTTCTTTCAGCAGAAGTTGTGGCTGGGAGTCTGCCTGCACACTCCTGCCTGCCTCCCTGGCCTGGGAAACAGTGTGCCTGCTCACATTGCCTAGTGCTAACTCAATCTTTGTACTGAGTAGGCTGTGGCAAGAAGACACACGGAAGAAGCCTGCAGCCTGATCAGACTTAAGACACTGGTATGTTCCTAAGAACGCATCTTTACAATGTAATGAAAATGTACATTTACTTTCATGTATACATATACAGTACTTACTATGACTGACTTTCATTAGTATAAGGAGGAGAATTTGTTCTTGCCAGCAGGAATAGCCAGTATAGCTCTAGTGAGTATGTTGCTGTCATTATGTGCTTGGCACCCCTAGTAAATCATCTACTTTATGATCATGCCGCTTTATAGAGACTGGGAGCTAGAAGGGGAGATGATGTACAAGCTGGTAAGCATTAAAATGCAACCAGCTTCTCCTCATTCCCCAGGACTCCTGGAAGAGCGCTGTGTGAAGGACCATGCATACCCACACATCCCTAATTTGTTCAGATGTTTCATATGGACTAGTAATGACCTTATAATGCTCCTTAATATTTCACCTGTATTCTCTTTTACTCCTACAGCTCCATGTGTGGTAAGTATTGGTATAAACTCTTTGTAGAGAAAGAAATAGGGGTACAAAAGATGAAATGATTTTTACCAAAGTTGCAAAGGAAGTCAGTGAGAAATGCAGAATTCCAACCTGGAGATGAACCTGTTGACATCACTGCCTATGCAAGTGAACAGCAAGCATCCTGAACCTCAGATGGAGACAACTTCACGCTGCTAAGCTCTGAAGTACTTGGGAGCATCTGCCAAGACACGGATAAACCGTCGACTTGTCTTAGGTCTCACAGCATAGGAGGAGCATTGAGACAGGCACACTGAAGTCTAGTCTTGGCATTATGAGTTTTCCTGTCATACAGGTCAATGATGAGTCTTCTGACTGTACGACAGTGCTGGAGACCACTGAGTAGACCTCTGTCTTCTGGCATTCACTGAAATAGTGGTATGCCTAAAAGGGGGCATGGTGGCCTGGCTGGGACACCTGGTATGGATTTCCTAATGGGAAGAATATTGCTGGAGGCTGCCCATGGTGACTTGGTACTCTTTCTGAGTTCAGAGGCTGCTACCAGGAAACAGTGTTTAAATCAGGCTGCTCAGTTACTTTCACTATTTGAGAAAATGGAGCTCCACATACTAAGCAAACTATCTTGCTTTGTAGGTGTCAGACAGAAGAACATGGCTTCCTACCTGAAAACAACAAAGGAATTGCTTGTTTTCTTAGGAAAATCACTTTTTAGTGTTCTGAAGGCTCTGATTTTTACCTTCATTCCAAAGCCACGAAAGAATGTGGCTGGTGAAACTGTCCTCATAACAGGCTCTGGGAGTGGACTCGGGAGGCTCTTAGCCTTGCAATTCGCCCGTCTTGGATCTGTGCTTGTTCTCTGGGATGTCAATACAGAGGCAAATGAGGAGACATGCCGGATGGCTCAGGAAGCTGGTGCCATGAAGGTACGTGCCTACACCTGTGACTGCAGTCAAAAGGAAGAAGTCTATAAAGTGGCTGATCAGGTAAATCTTGGGGACTCATCATTTTTTATGGGCAGAAAGATCCCTGTGTGAATACTTTGGCATATATCGTATCAGTTTTGTTGTTCATTTGTCTTTCTCAAAACCTATTTGCCTGCCTCAAAAGCACAAGGTCCCAAGTTCGATCCCCAGTACCAAAATTATATATATATATATATATATATAGTCTGGCAGTGAGAATTTGGAGTTTTTAGTTTTTATTGTATGGAAGTTGCTGTGCTAAGTACCCTGTATGTAATGTATTGTATTACAGAACTACAAAGTAAAATACACTTGTATTAGTCACACTTCCACTGGTGAGACAAAAATCTGATATACACAACTTAAAGGAGAAAAGGTTTATTTTGGCTCATGGTTTCAAACGTTTCAGTCCATGATCTGGCTTTTAGGTAAAAACAGCATGGCAGAGGAAAACTGTTAATCACATGGCAACCAGAAAGCAGACAGGAAGGGCAAAAAAAGAGCTCAAGAAAAGATATGTGCCTCAAAGGCATGCCCCAAGTAACCCACCTCCTTCAGCTAGGCCCTAGTTGAAGTGGCCCATTCAGCCATGAACGCATAAATGGGCTAATCCTTTGATGAGATTAGTGCCTTCCTGATATAATCAATTCTCATATGAGCCTTTTAGGGGACATTTTAAATCAAACTATAACAACACTATTATTCACCTTTCACAAATAAAGGCAGGCATGTAGCTTACCTAAGAAATATAACTAATAAGTAGCTAGCCACAGCTGAGACTTAAGTTTATTGAATCCTGAGTAGTTACAGACCTAGGATGCAACTGAGCTTAGATTTGCACTCACATTTAGTCTGATTTTAAATCCAAACTGTGTCTACTTTACCACCGTGCTTCTCATTTGAATGCATATTTTTCATAAGTAGACATAAGAAAATCAAAATACTTTACTCATCCTAAGACTCTTAAATGCATTTGCTTCTTCAGCAATTATACAGATGCAAATATAAAGAAAGTTCCAGGAAACCAAAGCTTTAATATACCAATGGTAAGAAGGTTCTTGGTTCATAGAGCGACCGCCCATTTCCTCAAAAGGATTTCTATGCCCTCACATTGGCAAGCATACACCACAAGTCACTCTCTTGGTCACTTTGTTTGTAGCTCCCAGAATTGCCCAATTTAATTAGAAGGGAGGAACATACAAGCCTGCTATGAGCAGTCTGGGTACTTTGCAGGGTTCTGTCACATTTTGCAGGCTCCACTGGCAACACCTTGTTACTTTTTTCATCAATTCCTACAGGAAAATTTTACAGGTCACTAGCAGGTGAAGTTTTGTCTTCTTATTTCACATCCTTCTCACCTCAGCTCCAGTTGTAGGCTTCCTAGTACAGACTGGAGATCCAAAGCTTACCAGCTCTCCAGGCTTACACGGGGCACCCTCCATGCACATCCAACCTCCTAGATTTGGCTGTTTATACATGAAGCACCAATCACCTGACATGATTTATGCCAACCACAAATGACTTCTCCAGCCAGATTTAAGCAGTGGTTGGTTACAATTGACAACTTTCAGCTATAGGGAAAACTATTGTGAAGCACTTTATAAATAACTGGCTTACTCCTCGCTGGATCTGTGATTTAGTTCTGCCTCAATTGCTTCCTTTTAAAGTGGTGAAATGTCATATTACTAGCAACTTTTATCACTTTGTGGTCTTGGAAAGAATTATTGGTGTGCTCTTTTGAATTTAGAGGAATTTACTCTGCACCCTTGTAAGCCAACCATTTTCACTTCTTATTCTAGATAATGGGGAAGTATCAGAGAATTTTTAAGAAGTATCCCCTAGGAGAGTAATCAAGGAGAAATTTCTTAGGGAAGTATGCCAGTGTTTTATCTCTGCTGAGTATTTGATAATTTTTAGAGCTTATTCCCTAGACCATAGCTTACTCTTGAGTTGAGGAAGTCTAGAGTTGCTACATGGCATCCTGGATCAGAGGTTATTTTGAGGAATAAATATAAGAGCAAGCCAGGGGTAGGTAGTTGTCACTAATTCTTGATGTGGCATGTGGAAATGTCCTGAATTTAATGACTGACTCGTAGTCTGTACAAATCAAAATCACTTTGACTTAGCATATTTCCAATTACATTGTTACCTTCACCAGTCCCCCACCAAAAAGAAACAAAAACCTAAGCTTTTGAATTTATTCATATGAAAATTTCCTTAAAACTGATTACTGAATTCTGATGTCCAAGATTATGGACTATATGATCACTGGTAAAAGCAGAATTTTTCCTACCACCACTACAACTAATCAGTTGTGGTTGTAAAACCTTGTGTTTGGAAAATCCTCATCAGTAACCTTGACAGTTCAGCACTGGACTCTGACACACATGGTAGCTTGAGGACCTCCCCTGGCAGGTTTTTGTTTTTATACTGTAGACATTCATAGGGTGAGCCCAGATAAAAGAAGGGCACAGCTCACATGTGAGTTTTGCAAGAGTTATAAAACAACTAAATACACTGTTGCCTCACTTTTATGCTAAGGAGAATACTAAATGAAAAAGAAAAAAAGAAAGAAAGAGAGAGAGAGAGCTACTTAAGAATTAGAACTTGTTGCATTCTTCCTTAGCTGTGACCCCTAGGCCCTTATAAAAGAAGAATAGTACCAGCAAGTTCACTCCAAGCATGAGCATCTTACCATGTTAGAATTTCTCATCAACAGTCAATTAGGGTACATGAGCCTATCTATTTCTCTTTGGTGCAAGCTCTGGCTTTTCCATCCCTGATCCTGAATTTGGATTTCAGCCTCTAATACTGGTACTGTCTTCTGGCCTAAATCCCTTTCAGGCCTTTGCTTTTGCTTCAAGTATGGGAGAGAAAGTCGTTTGCACCTTTGACTGCTGTTCAAGTTAGATTTCATAAAATATTTTAGCCACATACCAAATCAGACTTGCAGATTGCAAACTTCTGGTGCTTTTATCTGAAAACTCTTGCATAAAACATAAGTTTCCTGGGCCGGGGATTTAGCTCAGTGGTTTCGCTGCCTTCTGCACAAGCGCAAGGACCTGAGTTCGATCCCCGGTACCAAAAAAATAGTAATAATAATAAGGTTCCCTTAGTCTCTACTCTATCTTAAATGTGTCCTAAGCTACAGAGTCAGTTGGCTAGTGTAAATGCTCAAAACACAATACCCTGATGCTGGGACCTGGACCTTACAAAAGATTACATGAGAAGATGGTAGCTTCTGCTGGCCTCAGAGACACTTGTTCCCCTACACCATACTGTAGCAATACACCTTGCACCATCCACAGGGGCAAGTGTACACACACATACACCTGCAGGCACATACACAATGGTACTGATGTGAGTCTGCCCCAAGGCGCAGGAGGAGACGTGCATCAGGGCCACTGCTCTGTGATCTGAATCACAGTAATGAAATTCAGAACATAACCAAGAACACAGGGAGAGGAGTACCACCTCCTGTCATTAACCCTGGAAAGCTCCGTGCCCACTTCTCACGTAGAAGCTGAGATTACACTCCGAAGTTGCAATAGGAGAGGCTCCAGTGTTTTATCTAGAACTTTTATTTCCTAAACAAAAATGATTAAACACCCACACCAGCCAGTATTGAAGCAAGAAATGACTCACAGATCTTCAGCTTATATGTTTTATCTTCTTCCTGCATTGGTTCCCTACCCTGCCCCATCTCCATGTGTGCTAGCTCTTGACCTGTATGTCATTTGGTTATAAAAAAAAGCTATTCTTATATACCATCACACTGATTAAAATGATCTTCTACTAATATAGAGCTTAGAACAAAATTATTAGTCGGAGTATAAGAATAGTCTTAACCATGGAAAGAAAATAGCATCAGAACTGGATCTCTACTAGACCAGACTCTACAAAAAAAAAAAACTTTATTCTTAAATATAATATAATATCTATAACCATGGAAAAATAAATCCTACATCATATAAAGAAATATTACCATGGTGGTATCATTCTTGTTTTTCAACTCAGGTTAAAAAAGAAGTTGGAGATGTTTCCATCTTAATTAACAATGCTGGAATTGTAACAGGCAAGAAGTTCCTTGACTGCCCAGATGAGCTTATGGAAAAGTCATTTAATGTGAATTTTAAAGCACATTTATGGGTAATTGTTTTTTTCTTCTAATTAGTATAACATTGTTCTGGAATTCTACAGTGCTTTCCTCTTGCTCTTTAATTTTGTCAGCCTCTAAGTAGGGCACAGATATCATAATTTTGTGTGTTTGTGTGCTTGTGTGTGTGTGTGTGTTGCTAGTAATTGAACCCAGGACCTCGTGCACACTAGACAAGCACTCTACCAAGCTATGCTCCCAGCCTTGATACTTTAATTTTGGACTTGTCCTGGCCCACTCAGTTGTCCTCTGTTGATCCAACTTAATCTATAGCTCTCTTCGGGGAATCCTATCGAGACAAAACTGTCTTCATGGTCATATTTCTGTTTACTGATTGCTAGCAATGTTGCTGTCCCAAGCAGCTCACATATATAGTCAGCCCTCTGTGTCCTTGGGTTCTACATCCATGGATTCAACCAAGCAGGAGTCAAAATATTCAGAAAAAAAATTGTGTGTATACCGAATATGGACAAATGTTTGTCATTTTCTCTAAATAATACAGTGTAACAACTATTTTCATAGCATGTATTTTGTGTGAGATATAAGCCTAGAAACTATTTAAAGTATATGGAAAGATGTCCATAGCTTATATGCAAATACTATACTATTTTATATAAGGGATTTGAGCATCCTTGGGTTTTGGTAGTTGGGAGGGTGGGCTAGAACTAATCATCCCCAAAATACTGAGAGATGACTGTAAGCCTTAAAACAGTTCAGTGAGAAACACAGTAGGGAACACCAAACTTAAAAGATTTGCTCAAGGCTACATAACAAGTAACTATACTTAGACATGGCCAGTGTAACTTTATAATTTGCCTAAGCAGGGATTCTTTCAAAAGTGAACAGGGGCATTATTTATTAGCAACCATCAATCATATCTCTTTGGGGCAAATCAAACCCTTATTTGGTACCTGACTGGAGAAAGGAGAGGTTCTCTCGATAGTAGCATTCATGATCACAGCCCTGACTTATGAAGTGATGCAGTCACTTCCAGTAGTTGAACTTTGCTGGCGTTTGTTGAATGAGACCAGCCCTCTCTGACTTTATCCCACACTTTAGACATAGCACCTTGCTGCCACTCCCAGCTTTTGACCCATTTGGTTCCAACCCTGCTCACTGCTCTTCATTCCCTGGTCAGGACTCTCGTTTGGAGTATTAGCTGGAGATTTCTGACCTCCCTTGTTTTTCCTCACACCTTGCCCAATTCCCCTTTAGCAGCCTTCAATTGTAATTTGAAATTTCTAGATTTTCTGTCCCCATCTTTCAGCAAAAGTATAGTGGTGCTGGTGGTATTTTCGGTGTTATGTAATGTTTTCAGGGGAGAGATGCAAAGATCCAGAACTTAGCAATCGTCCTGTTCCTATGGGAACTACTACTGCAAATAATATCTCTTGTTCCCAATGTCCCTATGTCCCTCTCCTTTGTAAGATATATACATATATGTCTATATGTATGTTTAGAATGAAAATTATATAATTAACTATATGTAAATGTATATATAATACTTACATGTAATTAACTATATGTAACAGTTATATATGGTTAGAATAAAGGCAAAGATCACAATCCCCTAAAAAGTCTCAACTCTTGTGGCTTTTATGTCTTTTTCCCATTTCTGTTTTGCCCTGGTCGCTTTCATTGCTTTGACTTAAGGTATTTTTTATCAACTAAAAAATTTAATCATAATAATCATATGAACAGCTGAGAAAAAATATACAATGTGCTATTAAATGTTAAAATTTTTTCTTTACTTTTCTTAGACTTATAAAGCCTTTCTACCTACTATGATTGCTAATAACCATGGACATTTGGTTTGCATTTCAAGTTCAGCTGGATTAGTTGGAGTAAATGGGCTGGCAGGTAAGAGAAATGTAATATTTTACAATTGCAGAATTCCTAATAACCTTTAACTTATATTGTAGCTCTGAACTGTCAGTGTTGACTTGATGCCCTAATAATAAAGAACAATTAACCAAGAAATATAGTCAATAAGACAAGAGGCTGACATGGGACTACATGGTACTACAAAACTGCCCGTCAGTTACGCTTATATGAAGTTGAACTGTGCTTTTTACTGGAGATTGCATAAGATGTAATGATTCCAAAGGGCACAGTCCAACTGCATGTAAATATTCCTTTGTGCACAATGATTAAATTCACCTGGCACTGTTACCAGAATGGAAAGGAAGGCTAGTCTCCACTGCTGTGAGTTTGGAAACTATGTATTCATCTCAAGAAAATTAAAATTAACCTTTTTGGTTTTTTACTTGTTGAAGACCTGCAAGAAATGGTGGTCTTGTCATCTCCTCTGTAACACCCAACTGATTTGACAATAGGAGCAGGCAGGAGTAAAGAGATACACAAAGATTTTTAGTCACGGGGGGCCAACTCAAGAGCTGGCTCTGGGAGGAGCAAATGTCTTGACTTTTCCTACAAGGAGACTCTAGAATAACCATCCTTGGTCCCAACTTGCATAGTCTTCTGAAACTCGTCCAACAGAAACATAACAGTGGACCAGAGGGATTTAGCTCAGTGGTGCTGCTGCCTGCCTCACAACCACAAGGTCCTGAGTTCAATCCCCAGTACCAAAAAGGAAAAAAAAAAAAAAAAAAGAAACATAACAGCAATATTCAGATAATAAAACACAAAGTATGCCGATTAGGCACTTTTGAACTAAGCCTCATGGTTCAAGATTCACAAAGAAGTGTTTTCAGAACCATCAGCCACCCAAAATATTATCACGGTATACTCCCTGGGCCCTGGACTTCCTTCCCTCTATCCTTCTTTGAATTCATCAGGGGTTATTATTTATCTCTATATGACATGTCTGATGAGTCAATGTCCTTTGAGATAATATAGACATATTTACAGCTGCTAAGCTTGTTTCTGAGACAACATCTTTGTCTTTAGATATGAAAGTCTTCCATCCCCAGCTCACCTGAAAAACAGTGTAAGCTTTTTGTATTCCCCACAGTGTGGATCTTGGCTCCTTGCCTATTCTGTGGGTCCTGGGCTCTCTGCTCATTAGAATCTTAAGGACCAAGGGTTCAGTGAGCTACATTTACCCCAGATGACTCAGATGGTCCTAGAAGCCTCTCTTCCCTTCCCTCCCTCTAGCCTCTCACCCACTGTCTGTGGCACCCTTAGGGCCTGACAGTCCTGTGCCCAGTGCTTCTAACCTGATTCTTGCCATTCATAGTAGCTGCTTCATAACATAGCCAGTAGGCATGCCTCTTCTTACTGTGAAGAAAAGGAAAGCATTAATCCTTCTAAATGTCATTACTTTTCCAAAACTTTTTCATCCAACAAATTGAATATATAGGTATTTTTGAAGCAAGTGTGATTAAAGACAGAATGCTTAAAATGAACATAAATACCACTTTCTACTTCTCCCTGCATTTTTAAAGTATTTAAGAAGTGAAAGCTGAAGCCAGTAAGCCCTTTGTTTTTTATCTGGAAGTAAAAGATCATTAGAAGTCTGCATCTCATGGAGAGAGCAGGCAATTCATTTTCAACGACAACATTGGGTAGGAAGCACAGAGAGAAAGGAAGAAGCCAACACCCCAGTATATCATTTGGAGGCATATGCCCAATGACTTAACTTCCTTCCACTAGGCCTCACCTTTTGTTTTTTGTATTTTTGTTTGTTTGTTTTGGTGCTGGGAAGGGAACTCAGGCCTTGCATGTACTGGGCAAGCACTCCACTGAGCTACAACCCTAGCCCTTTTTTAAAATTTTAAGGCACTCCGTTACAGGCTATTCTTGAACTTGAAGTCCTCTTACCTCAGCCTCTCGGGTAGCTGGGACTGCAGGCATGTGCCACCACAGCAGCATAGGCCCCACTTCTTATGGCTTCCCCCACCTTCTAGTAGCACCACAAGCTGGCAACCAAGTCTTTAGCACAAGAGCCTTTGGAGGACATTTAAGATCTAAACCCTCACATTCTGCCCCAGGCTCCCAGAAGCTCATGTACGTCTCACAGTGGAAAACGCACTTAGTCCATCTCCACAAGTCCCCAAAACCCTAACAGTTCCAGCATTGCTCAGAAGTCCAAGTCCAAAGTCTCTTCTGAGACTCAAGCCAAACTTTTAGCTACAAGGCCCTATAAATGTCAAAAAATAAGTTACATAATTCCATGATACAGCAGCACAGGACAACGATTCCCATTCCAAAAAAGAAGACTGAAAAATAGCAAGAAGTCAGACCAAAGCAAGCCCAAATCCCAGGAGGCTGAACATCAAGTCCCATAGCTCCATTGCCTGACATCCAAGCCACACAGTGGCAAAATGTGGGCCACCAAGGGCTTGAGTAGCCCTGCGTGACTGTTTGGCCACATGGCCTCTCTTGGGTAGCGCTGCTCACTGCCTGAACCTTTCCTCAGCAGACATTCCAACTTGGTGGCATCTTTAACTTCCTGGATAGTCATTGCAGCTTTGGCTTTACTGTAACAGCTTCATACATCACCCTGTAAGGGACTGTTTACAAGAAATTTGCTCCTGCCACATTCCATCTGGCTGCTCAGGCTTTCCTTTGAGCTTTTAGTGGAACCTTTTCTGAGTCCCTACTTCTTTCATTTTGCCTGCTTGCAAAACAAAGACTGCATGGGATTTGCCAGAGTCTGCTACTGCCTCAAGCTGTACCTGGGCCCACTGGAACCATGACTTCAATTGTTTCTGAGTGCCTGGATGGCTGAACATGAGGAAAATAAATCCAGAGAAAACAGTTCCCTAATTGGCATGGTTAGAACGGGGCATCCCAGGGCTCTCTTCTCAAACAGAAGTCTTTGAGCTTGTGATGGGTGACATCTCGTTGATTCCTGAGATATCCTTGGGGCATCTTTCCCAGTGTCCTGGTGCAAAGTACTTTACTTTTTTTTTTTAAGTAGTACAGTACTGGTGATCAGATCCAGGGCATTGTACTATAACCTCTTTGTTGTTGTTGTTGTTGTTGTTGTTGTTTTAGATAGGGTCTTGCTAAGTTGTGCAGACTATCCTCAAACTTAAATCCTCCAGATTCAATTTCCCAAGTAGCTCGGATTGCAGTCCTGTACCACTATACCCAGCCTTGGCTTCTTTTCAATGCACTAATCTCCTTAGCAACCACATGCTCCTTTACCACAGTTTTAAAGGTGTTCCTTTTCTAGCCAAACTCCAGATTTTTCCACTTTGCTCTTTGCTCCCAGTTCTCCCTGTAAATCTGGCTAAAACATCAAGAAATCCCTATGCAGTAGCCTGAATGCCTTGCTGCCTTGAAATATCTTCTATTTGATGTACTAGTTCATCACTTTTAATTTACAAAGTCTCAAAGCATGGACAAAATGTAGATAAGTTCTTTGCCAGAATGTAACATGAATGGTCTCTCGTCAAATTCCCAATAGAGTCCTGATTTCCGTCTGAAACCATTAGCGTGACCTTTATTCTGTACGTTTCTGTCAGCATTCATGTGGTACAAATCTCAGCTTCTGCAAAGTACAATATGGCAAAATAGAAGAAAGAAGGCGTGCCTGGATACATTAGCGTCATTTCTCTTTCAGATTATTGTGCAAGTAAATTTGCAGCCGTTGGATTTGCTGAATCTATGTTTGTAGAAACATTTGCCCAAAAACAAAAAGGGATCAAAACTACAATTGTGTGTCCGTTTTTTATAAAAACAGGAATGTTTGAGGGTTGTACTACTAGGTATGTATGCCTTTTAATATAAAAAATTGTTTAAAATGATTGGCTCTCTCTCTGCTTTTGTTGTGTTTTTAAAAATTCTTTAAAAAGCCCAGGGCTTTAGCTCAGTGGTTCTGCTGCCTGCCCCGGCAAGTGCAGGGACGTGTGTTCAATGCCCGGTACCAAAAAAAAAAAAGAAAGTATTTAGAAGATATTTTGCTAACACTCAGCCTAATTTTAAAATGGTTTCAGAATTTTTTCTTTGCATGCGTTTTAGATACTCAGTGGAATGGAAATGGTTTATTAAAGCAATGTCCAATTAGTAGCTGCTCTGTGGTCCTAGATCTGCTTATTCATCTTGAGGTTGTCCTGGCCACAGACCCTCTCTGCCACCCACCCCTACTGAGCCCTCTTTCCTGATTCCAGAAAGACTGGAAATCATTGAAGGAAAGTTTAGTCTGGGCTGCTGTAACAGAACACCGTATAGTAAGTGCCTTAAACAACAGAAAATTCTTTCTCACAGTTCTAGAGGCTAGAAGTCCAAGATCCAGAGTCTGGTAAGAGCCTTTTCTTGGTTTGCATATTCTGCCTTCTCATTATTCTACCTTCACTTGGTTTTGGGGGTGGGAGTGAAGGTAGAATCTCTGTTTCATGGATCTTCTTATAAGGACACAAATAAGCATTCATGAGTACTCCACCCTCATGACCTAAAGACTTTCCAAAGACCTCACCTTCTAATACCATTACGTTAGGGATTAGGCTTCAACATGTGAGTGGTCTGGGAGGAGAGAGATACATCGTGTCCATAGGAGGCACAGATCACCAGTTCTGCATCCCATGGAGACAGCAATCAGTTTGTTTTCAGTGAGTTGCTTTAAAACATTAGATTTTTAAAAATAGTTTCACATTGATGTTTACTGTAACTTCAGCATATAGATTAGAATCATTATTTTCCATTTCAAATTCTAGTTATGTTACCAGGAAGTAAATATAAAAGTACATAAAATCATGAAGGTGAAAAAATAAGTGATACTGTCTTTCAACCTTTTTATCCCTGATTTGATAGAATTATTCTTATTAACTTGTTAATTTGAGTTTTGCTTTGTTGTTTATCTTCTAGTTCCCCTACTCTGTTGCCAATTCTGGAACCAGAATATGTAGTCAGGAAAATAATAGATGCTATTCTGCAGGAACAGCTGTACCTGTATATGCCAAAGTTTTTATATCTTGTGATGTTTTTAAAAAGGTAATATATCAGATTCTATTACTTCTCTAACATGCCACACAATAGTTTACTCTAAATCCCACTAGGAGAGGCCACCTAAAAATATATCTCTTAAATTAGTGAATTTTTAATTAATTTTTTGATATACTTTTGATATCCATAATCACATTCATCCTAGGGAATTTGTATCTGTACATAATAGATCTAGATTCTTCTTCTTTTCCCCTTCCTCTCCCCTCCCTTCAACCCTTCTCCCCCTTCCCATTTACAAAAGCTTTGTTTCTATTTTCCCTTCTATTCTTTTTTCTTTTTCCTCCTTCTCTTCCCCTTCCCCCCTCCCTTGTTCCCCTTCCCATTTGAACGTTTTTTTTCTATTTTAAAAAGGAAAATCTTCTACATGCTAGTGAACCCATCTTTTGATCTTTTTGTTGACATAATGCCAAATTTGCACAGTTGTAGGGCCTGCCATGAGTCCGGGAACAGGTCTGGACCCTCCTTGACTCTTCGTATTGTATTATTACCACAAGGAGGTGGATTTATTGAATTCTCTAGAAACAGACTGAAATGACTTGGTTTGTTTTGTTTTGTTTTGTTTTGTTTTGTTGGTACCAGGGATCAGACTCAGGACCTTGTGCTTGCGAGGCAGGTGGCAGAACCACTGAGCTAAATCCCTGGCCCCTGAAATGACTTTTTAAAGAGAGATACTTTTTTCTTTTGCTCATCATAATATTATCACCTCATAAGAGTATCTCCTTGCAAGGAAGCAGTTTGCCCATCCTCTGTTGAATTGCAATGGATATCTTATGCTTCTTGCTAGCTCTGGCTTCCTCCACAAGCTCTTTGTGCAATTCCACTCCTCTTTATAGTGACAGTTTTCAATTATTTGAAAAGAGGTATTATACTTCATCCTCACTACATGCCTTCCCTGCATTTAGAAATTTTTCTTCTTAGTGAATTGTATCTACTTTGTGCAGTGAACCAAATGCCATTCTTACATCCTATACCAGTAATGGTTAACCTTTTAGAGCTTTCAGTGATAACAAACAGCCCACTGTGGCATGTATGCTATAGGTTTGCCACCACTGTTATACCTTTTCTAGGCTTCATGTCACACAAGAGAGATCAGTGTGCCTGACAGAGGGTATGTGGGGCAGAGCAAAAGATCTTTGACAAGCAATTTGAAATCTAGGGTTACTATTTACCAAGTCTGTGAGTCTTAGCATGCCCTGTATTCTCCAGGCCTCAGTTTTTTCATTTACAATGTAGAGACAATGATTATGAGACTGTCCAGATTAGTGTAATGCACTGCATATTGTGCAGCATGTGTATTTACAGCATGGTGTGTATTCTCTTGCCTAATAGCAGATTGGAGTATAGCAAAGCCAACTCTAATAACATGGGACTTAATTTCTCTGCTCTGAACAACTGTGAAGGTATATGTGCTTTTATAGCATATTAGTTCTGGGTCATGTTTGAGAGGGCTAGATAGTCCTGAGAAGACTAGAGGAAACACAGAGAGGCTCCATAAAGGGGATTATATCAAACCCTCTTTCAAACATTTATTCAACATTTAGAGAATGCCGTGTGTGTGCCATGCACCATCCCAGGTTCTAGGGATAGAGCAAAGAACAAGATACAGAGAAATTTGTATCATCATGGAAATTGTCTTCTTGCAGGGGAGGGGGGACAAAAAAGTAAAAGAAAAGGTATAATAGGGATCATAAGTGCTATGAAGAAATGTAAAATCAGAAAAAGGGATCTTAGAATGGAGATTATAAGGGAACGCTTCTAATCTCCATTCTGAGATTCCCTTTTCTGAGCCCAGCCAGATGCTTTTACCACCAAAGCCTGTGCTGCAAGCACTAGACTTGCCTGCTCCCTCTTAGTCAATGTACAGGATGGTGATGCTTTGGAAACTGAGGTGAGAAGTGAATTGAATAATTTAAGTGAAACTAGGAGAGCTCTAGAGACCCTGAGCAGATGAACCCTATGTAGTGGACAAGGCCCAGCCACCCTGAGGTAGGTAGCACTGAGACTGCATAATGTGTGCATGAGTGAATGACTTCACCTATGACAAGAAGTGACAGATTTCAACTAAGCTGGTGAAGATGCTTTCACAAATAATAACCAAGAAAGTTAATTTTGTTTTGCATTCTCTTTAGTGTCCTGCCCGTCAAGACAGGACTGCTTATAGCTGACTATGTAGGCGCCTTTAATGTAATGGATGGCTTCACTGGGCAAAAGAAGAAAACCTAAAGACCAACTCTGTGGCTGATGCCATGTGATACCCAGAGCTACATAATGATTAGTTCAAAGAAGAAAAGTATTTTTGTCTAACAGTGGGATATATTTGGAGAGAAGTATTATTTCTACTATGGTATCTGGATTAGAATTTTCAGTGTCTGAAACTGACATCATTTTCTCCTTTTTTGTCGAGTTTTGGGATTTTGTTGTTGTTTTGTTGTTAGGGTGGTTGTTTCTTTGTTTTAAAAAATAAAGATAGCCCATTTGTGTCATTTCCATTTACAACAGAAGTGAGAGAAAGGTAAATTTCTCTCATGAGCTGCCCCAACTCTGGCACAGTGGAGGTGAATCCCGTGGGCCAGGTGTCTGTGTTTGCCTTCATGGGACACGAGGGCCTGGGAAGAGCATCAGGAGTGCCCAAATAAAATGCCCTGCAGTGTACACAGAAGCTCTGGATTCCTCATCACCTTGCTCTCAGCTTTGGCCATTTTAAACTCAGATCAAGCATAGAAAAGCCCAGTACCCAGCGCCTTCCTTTCCAAAGCAGTTTCATACTTACTGTTCATGCCCTGGATACTCAGACCATGTGCCATTTGTCCAACTGAAGGTCCATTATGTCCCTTTGTGTCAGGGACCTTTATGGGCCTTTCCTGAAGGACACTCGTGGCCAGTGATCCCAGATCAAATGCTCAAATCACATTTTTTTTCCTGCAAGAGATGGTTATTTCTTACTCTAAAATGAAATTCTACTGACTTGATTTACTGCCACCAGTTGATCCAAAAGCCATATTCATGTGGTTAAATTTAAATATGGAACTTAACAGTTCAAGTTGGGATTCATGTTGATGTATTTTTCATACACTGAACAATTTTACACATTTGCATTCATCAGTGCAGCCCTCACCTCAGAGCTGTTGTGCTCTTACAGTTTAATCAACTTGCAAACTGTTTTCATGCTTTGGAGATTAACTATGAAACAAGACTAAGAAAAATGTGTTCATTACCATATCTCTGGAACTTCAGGTGGTGGGGGAACGTGCCCTACAGGGAGAAGAACAGCCTTTTGTCCCTCCCCTCTTGGGAAGCAGGAAGGGATGGGAGGTACCTCAGAAGACTCCATAAGGGTTAAAAAAAAACAGGAATTTGAATATCTTGAGGGCAAGATTTTCTTAGAAGGACAAGGATCTCAGGCAGTGTGGAGTATGGAATACACTGTGGACTCATTCATCTTGAGTGGCCCACGTGTTTTTGACAAGTCTGTTCCTCTATTTCCCTTCCTTAAAAAACCTTTTATGATAATAATAATAATAATGATGATACCTAATATTTACTTTGCCTGGCACCAACCTAAGCATTTCACAAACATTATTCCATGAAACAAGAATATCACATCATGACTGAAAGAATGCAAAAGGTATTTAGTGGATGCCAACAAACGCAGGCACATGTTTCACAGAGGTATCCTCACTCAACTATAGATGTGTGATGCAAGGATCAAAAGCCCTCAGATTAACCAAATGATGTTCCAAATCCTTGGTTAACAAGGTTAATTAAGAGAGAAGCACAATATTACTGCTATATTACAACTCCAAGAGCGTATATTCTGAGAGCCTGTCTATTTAGCTGAAGAATAAAGAAGAGACTCTGAGGAGATTTAACAGAACAAAGGTCTGGGGGGAAGAGTGGGCATCCACCACATCATAACAGCATTTACAGCAATTATTTCTAATTGAAGTACATCTTGGCTGGACTACTACAAAGGCTTGAAATTCAATTGTGGTTTTACAATACCCATAAAATTGTCTAAACAGATTCAGATTTACTTGAGGCAATCCTATGAGAAGAGACCACATGTAAATTAGCGGATTCTAGAGAGTAATAAATAACAAGGTGATTTAATGGCTCTGGGGAGCAAGTGCTTTCAGCATGTGTCTCATGCCTGTTTTCAGCTGAAATGGAATCCTAATGAAGCCACGATCAAAGATCCCAGCACCTAAGCAAGCCTGAAAAAAAGGGCTGCAAAACACAGCATTCTGGTCCCCTGAGCTAGTCAAAAACCAAGAATTCTTGCTATAAGGAGTTTGGATGGGTGAAAATGTGTGACCATGCTTTGTTTTTTAAATTTTTTATCTGTAGTTTCATACTGAGATGCTGTCAAAGTTTAAGCTACCATAACAAAATACCACAGACTGGGTAACTTAACAGAAATTTATTTCTCACAATTCTGGAAGCTGAGGCAGCTGGCTTCTCACAATGTCCTCACATGGCCTTCTAACAGGAGAGAGAGAGAGAGAGAGAGAGAGAGAGAGAAAGAATTTTACCTTATAAGGACACTAGTTCTATTTTAAGGGCCCCGCCTTCATTCCTTTGTCTAATCCTAATTACCTACCAAAAGCCCTACCTCCTAATACTATCATGTTGGACATTAGGGCTTCAATATGTGAATGGGACTTGGGGAAGGACACAAACACTCAGTCTATAACAGACACCAAAATAGAAAAGGAAAACCAGATCATATCTGACCTTCCCACTCAGAGTCCCAATGCTGAAAGGGTCAAAGTTTGTCTAATGAAGGCATTTAGGATCTTGGAGGCAGAGTGAGTTGGAGATGCTTGGAAAAGCCTAATTCCCACCTCTGAGAGATAGCATTTGAGAACAGTGACTGAGAATTTGAGCCATGAAACGTAAACTAATAACATCCCAAGCAGAGCTCCTCTGTGAGAGAAAGTATGATGTCCTAGGCACCCTCAGCATTTTCTGGCCAGTGACCTGTCGGGCTCACCCAAGTATCTCCAGTTCACTTCCCTTTCCGGCTACAAAATGATCTTGCATTGCTCTCAGTGAGAAAACCACAAGTGGGTCTTTGAAGAGAGTCTCTTCCCCAGATTGTTCTCTTGTTTTCCCATAACATCACCACCCTATTGGAAACCAAACTGATAACTGCATCAGCCGTTGGGGTTCATCCTTTGAGAAGCCTGCTTGTAAGGGTAGAAATGACAAATCTCTGACCTGGTCCCATGCAGGGTACAAGGTATAATCAAAATATACAGTGAATGTTTGAATTTTTAAAAATTTTACTACAGTAAAGGACACACTTCCTTTAATTCCCCTCTACACATTTTGAACACACTCATCCCATTGTTCTGTGGGACCGCATAACTCTGTAATCATAAAAGCTCCCCCAGCCCCACCACAGTGACTGATTGTGAGTTAATGGTTAAAATGTGCTTGTTAGTTCTGGGACACAAGATAAAATCTGTAACAAACATAGAGTTCCTAAGTGAATTACCCAACTCCTTGTTTGTCCAAAACTGATGTTCCGGACACAGCTATCTATAAGACAATCTACAAACATCTTTTGACCATCAACATTTTTTCTCTTTTCTGTAAGTTCTGCTTGCTAACTTCCCCTGCAACCGCCTATAAAACAGCCCTGGACTCTGAGCCAGGGGCCTCTCTAAGCTACTTTGCTTTGGGAGTGCCGTCTGGCCAGACTAATAAAGGTCTGTTTTACTTTCCAGTTTGTCCGGTGTGTTCCTTCCCAGGTTTTCTTCGCTACAGTCAGCTCCTCAGAGCGTTTGGTAAGGCCCTCAGTCTTACAGTTCTTATCACTTTCTTAAGCAGTTCTGAAAGTTCTTTCATGGATGTCTTTATGAGACATGATCAAAATGACAGTGAATGGAAAGTCAGGCTCACAAAAACATTACAATGTATGCTTATCTACCTTATTCACCAGATTTGGCCCTGTGTAATTTCTGGCTCTTCCCTAACGTCAAAATGACCATGAAAGATAAATGTTTTGAATTGATTCAAGGCATCGAAACAGCAACAACAGCACAACTAAAGACATTCACAAAGTAGGACTTCCAGAACTGTTTCAAAAGTGCCAAAATGATAGAATATGAGTGTTTGGAGCAAGTGGGAATATTTTGAAAGGGACAAATGGCACTATCTTTTCATGTAATAATTTTTTAATTAAATATTCACTGTATTTTTTTTATCACACCGGGCACACAGACCTGGGTAGTTTCGCGTGCTTGCCTCCAGCCAGAGCAGCAGTGCGAGCGTTGGTGTCTGACGCTCATCTCGTTGTCACGGCTCCAACACCTAGGCCTTCGTCGATGTGCCCCACATTGATCTTCACCACTGGATCTCACAAAGGCTAGAAATGAAATCTCCCTGGCCCTGCTTGTGAAGCCAGGTAAGTTTGTCACCCACTTCTGGTGTCTCCATTTGGATTTGTCTCCTTTCTCCTGGTGGCCTTTCAGACTTTCTTTGCTCTCAAACCCACTGAAATACTGTCCCCTACCTTTGCTCAGGGTATCATTCCCTCCACCATGCATAGAAAATAAGCTAAAAAATAAGTATCTTTAACTCCTTAAACCAATACTTGCAAAAGCATTCATTTCTGCCACTCTCCGTCTGTCTCTGTCTGTATTTCTCTCTCTATCTTCCCCCCTCCAACCTCTCATTCTCTCTCTCTCTCTCTCTCTCTCTCTCTCTCTCTCTCTCTCTGCCTTAATGGAAACAGTGAACCTGCTCAAGGTTGATCCTGCAATCAGTGAGTCCTCCCACTCACTGTCTCCGATGCTTCATTGAAGGTTTTCTCTCCCACTTCTCAACTCTTCACCAAAAATTATTCCCCTGCATCCTTTCAAAACACTAAAAATAGCATGAAATTTACAAATAAAGAGACTTTGCCAAACCTCACCCTGGTATAACAGCAGCTGTCTTCTCTCCATTAGCCACATCATTTAAGGCACAGCCTTATGAGCCCACTCTTCACCTTGCCTTGACTCCTAAGCCATCTGGCTTCCTGTGTACCTTGAAATGGTGATTCTTATGAAAGATCTTAAAGAGTTTCATTCCATATCATATTTTACTTCCCACAGTGAGCACTATTAATCTCTCAGCCTTTGGTCCTGGTGACCCCTCTAGGTCCTGGCCTCTTCCACTGCTGACTCCTCAATTTTTCAGTGATCTCCTAGGTTCAATCCTTGGATTTCTCACTTTGTAGATTCCTCTGGGGGCTCTTAACCATGCCCATTACTCCTCAGTCCAAGCCATACCCAGGTGCAATGCTCTACTTTTTCATTTGCTTTACCTATCACAAGCCTATCAAATTAGTAGTCAAATCCAGTCTGCTCTTTCTCTTGACCTAATGAGCATATTTTCCTTGCCATCCCCATTGCCTAGGCCATATTTCAGGCTGTTCCCTGTTACAATAGCTCCTTGCTGGCCTCTGCATCAGGATAACTAGTGGTAATTGACAACTGCAATGCAACGGAGCTTAAAGAAAGCAGAAGTGTCTTTCTCTCTGATGTTTAAACTGTCTGGAGGTAACTTTTGAGGGCTATTAGGGTGCTTCACAGAGATCCATATTTTGGATCTGGAATGTTCCCCAAAGGCCCATGTGTCAAAGACTCAGTCCCTAGTGTGGTGCTATTG